CTTTTGAGTCTATTCAAATGTGCAATAGTCCATTCTTGGAAACTTCGAGTTACCTTCGTTGAATTTTTCTATTTTCGGATTAGTAAACTTGCCTATCAATTCCTTCTCAATGGCATTGTTACTCTGACCTCCGTTCTTTTGATGCTTTAAATAAATTTGCAGGAAAATCTTCTAATTGTAGGTATCGAAAGCGCCGCCTGCCTTTGGGTTGAAAAGGAACGCAAGGAAGAGATGGGGCTGTAGGAAAAAAACAAGATCGAAGAGTGCACAGGGGTAAAAATGCGAGATGGGCCTCAGCGGAGGGGATCCTCGGTAATAGATATTAACTTAGCTCGCGGTTAAATGGTGCTTAGTATGAACACGCATTAAATCGACAAGAAAAGGCAAACGCAGAAAGAGTGGCTGGAAAAAAGACAAGACAAAAAAAAGGAGTCAATTCGATTAAATGGTAATGTTACCTTCCCCGAAACCTCCCTCGTCTCGAAATTAATGGCAATCTAGGTGGGAGTTAACACAGTGTTTTTCTTTTTTTCCGTCCTCTATTTACTTTGCAGCCCCATTAAACCTAAATATGTCCCCCATAATATTTGTATTCAAATTTTTTCTCATCTTTCCCTTTATTTATTATCTTATCGTTCGGGCGGAAGACCTACCCCTTCCTCGCTCACCCCCCTCCCCCGGCATTACGAGGTCTTGCTCCTTTTCACGAAATGTGTAATGTTTGCCTTATGATTTATGCTTGGCAGTTGAATCTTATGTTTAATGTTTTATTCATAACTCGTTACGATTTAGAATATTCTTTTTTCGTCGTCTGGCTTTTCTTTTCGATAGTATTTAAATCCCTGCTGGTGACAGTCATCCGATCTGCGTGATTCCTTCAAGCTCGAGATGGCTCGTTTGGTTGTCTTTTATTCTGATGATATGGACGAATCTAGGGCAGAAGGAACGAGAATCAGCACTACAGCCTCTAAAATAGTAGTTGCTGTCGTACACGACAGATATAAAAAGGAACAGTGCAAAAAGTATACTTTTCTTCGACGAAGTACTTTCATCGAAATCTTATGTCGTTCCATTTCATTTGTCTAATTTTTTATTGATTTAAAAAAGTTAAATGATTTTTGCATCCACCCTCAAAAAACGATTAAAAATGGTGAAACAATAATATCAATCCATATAGATTTTTCGTTCTACTGTTTCAATGGATTTTGTAGCGTTTAATTCCTGAAAGTAGATTTTGATGAGCCTCGTCGCATAACAATTTACGAAGCGTGTAAGGGGAGTAATTCAGTCATACCTGTTATTAGAGAGCGAAAGGCGAAACAAGTATTTTAGAGAAGTAAAATGAACAGGCTTGATATCCGACGTGATAAATCTTGACGAAGGGCTGCCCAATTGACAAGCGGGTTCACAATTATTGGAACAAGCATGACCGAATTCGGTTGACAGAAATGCAATCAGACCGTTGCGAAATTCGAAGGAATATTCTAATTCACAAAATCCAAGTCCAAATGCTCTGTGACGACCCTTTAAATTATTTAATTTAAGTGCGGCGCAAGTTGTGAAACGGTGTTGCAAAGTGGCTCTTTTAACCCGTTTAATTTTGGTCTCCGGGTTTTTTAATGTTGTTGACGGTTGTGCCTGGGTGACCATTTAGCGTCTCTTACTGAGCATCAGGATATTAACACATCGGATTCTACATAGAAGTTAAATACCAAGTAATAAGTAGACTAATTTTATTTTGAATCTCTATCGCATCAAAATGTGTTCCTCATCATGGTAGAAGTCAAATGGATTTCACCCACGCGCTTTAATAATGATAAAATTTACTCCTCAATTGAATCGGGTCGTGCGAAAACCGCTAATGTCCATTTTTCCAGCTTTAAGTTTTTTTTTAGTTCCTAATACTTTTCGGAATTGGTTGCATCCACGAAAATGGCGTTAAAACTCGTCTTCGAGTTTCCTTAATTGCAAAACGAGTCCTTTCATCACTTATAGGGCTGTATCAAAGTTTTAAAAGTATTATGAACTTTAAAAAATTTAATGCTAGAAAAATGGACATTAGCGGTTTTTCACGTCCCGATTCAATTCACCTCAACAATTTTAACAGTTTAAATGATATCGGACAAAATTAATCAAACTTCTCCAGGAATTAATTCTCTCCGTTCAATAAAAATGACAATATTGCCCTTTAATAGACACGGTGACTGGTGTCATCCACCAGTGAGAACCAAAGGCTTTCTTTCGGCACCCTAATTTCAACGGTAATTCACGTAAAATAACTGGTACAAGTATCTAAAGAGAATCAAGATATCCACAAAATCCGATTGCATCAACCGTATTATCGTCAAAATTTTTTGAAATTTTTTGAGAGTCTGGACTCTGGATCTAAAAGACTCTTTTCCCGGCGAAACTTAAAAGAGGGGCTTGGAGGACAGGGCGCACAAGTGCAGTTTTTGCTATTTCAAGAAATACATGTTTGGAGTTTCAAAATTACATGGAACCTAACAGCAGAAAGTAAGTTTAAAATCACTTTTTGATGCTTTAAAGTTGGATTTTAGTTGCGAAATTTTCACAGAATACACTCTCAAACTAGTTTTAGTCCAGTTCATGAATATCTCAAGTTTTTAAAACCTGCACTTATGCGCCTTGTCCTCCAAGCCCCTCAAATGGACCATAACTGAACCAATTATTTTTCATATCAAAAAATTGCGTCAAAATTGCGAATGCGAGAAAAACCGTTCTATTCGCTTTGTTGACAATCATCGAATTCCAAAAAATGTATGTCCTTTTAAAAGGCTATTTTCAAATCAGACATGATTGATAATACCAGGGTAAACTAAAGAAAAAACAACCCCTCTACACGGAGAAAAATCTATGGCTTATAAACCAATTCGTGGTTTATATGGAACACCACTAATAGTAGTGAAGGCAACATAATACCATACTTTGATACGAGTTATCACAGTATGGTTCACAGACTGACAATCATTACTTCATATACAACTATTAATGGTGTTTGTTCCATATGAACCACTAATTGGTTTATAAGCCATAGCTTTTTCTCGGTGTATCACCAAAATAGAGATTTGCGCTTGCGTGATTTGAAAAATAATCGGTTCAACTATAGTCACGACACTGATAATTCGGAGAATTAGCGAGAGTAGTACAACACTGTCGACGGCCAAGCGGGAGGGGGGGAGGGGGAGTTTATTGGTTTTTCCTCTTTTTTATCCGCGACTCGGTGGGTTGTTGAGGGCAGCCGCTCCGGTCTCGCGGAGGGTGCGCTGAAAATGGGAGGACAGGGATCCCCGCTCGTAGGGGCGTCGCGGGGCCCGGGTCGGAGTGGGAGGGGGAGGGACGGGAATCTTTAATTGTGACAATCTGCGAAACTAATGAGCGCGCTGTCGCCAAGACCGAGAAGACCGGAACCGATGGAAACTCGACTTGGCTCACCCAACCTCCCGCCAAGGCTTCCGGGTCCTTCCTTCATTCTGCCGCCTCCCAAGAACCGCTTAGCTCCGCGGGGAATCAAATGCAGATACGCGCTTTATGATCAGGGAGTTCGTCGCCTCCCGCGCGGAGGAGCGTAACTCCATTCTGAGGTTGCAACTTTGACGCGGACAATTGAATTTCTCACAACCGTGAACCTATGCAATTTTTGTCCGAAATTTCTCTGATTTCACCATGAGATCAGAGAAAAGACGGTGAAATTCTCGGTTGAAAAAAGTCAAGATTCTTGCCGTAAAAATGCAGTTTTCGAGGGAAATCTGGCAACATTGAAATGTAGTTACGTTCTATCGTGAGTAAAACGACATGTTGCGGTTTCGTGCCTACCATAACGCAGTGGAAAAAAACACATTGGATCTAGAGTCCAGACTCTTGAAAACATTGACGAGAAACTGGACTCTTGATTCAATCAGATTTAAGCTTAAATCAAAAGGAAATCCGCTCCAATCGAGAGGCTTGGTTCTTGATTTAAGCTTAAATCTGATTGAATCAAGAGTATTTTTTCTTGTCGATGTTTTTAAGAGTCTGGACTCTAGATCCAATGTGGTTTTTTTCCAGTTTAACGTTCTTAGTATGCATGGCAATGGATCACTAAACAGAGTATAGGTCATTTAGTGCTACCGCACAAGTCTCCTGGTCAAAATTGTACACAGAACATGTTGAACTTACCGAAAATTGAGAATTAGCACGCACAATTTTTATCGCTTCATCGAAGTGCTCAAGGAGCTGACTTTGAACGAATAATCATTCAAAGCGAATAAAATGCAAAATTCGGAGAGATGAAAACAGTGCATGGCTACGAAAAAGCCTTGAATTCTATACTAAGATAGGTTGCTGTATCAGACGTGATAAAGTGCGATTACTTGTGTGTCATACAATGAAACGAGTCCATTAGAAAAGTCGGACAAAATGAGGAAACTTTAAAAGCTGATAACTCTGGTTAATACCAAGATAGGATGTTTCAAAAGTGGTTTCATCAGTTTGTTTTCTCGTAAAATGTTCTACAAAAAACACCCCTTGAACTGTAAGATGTCACGAATTAGGCATTAAAAATTTACAATATTAGTCAAACATGTTGTGTTCGACTTCTTTCAAAGACACGTTCCACTGTGAACCAACTCCCGGTTTTATCTTCTCGGATTTTGCATATTTTTGTTGCGAATGATTCTGCACGCCGACGCGTGCTCTTATGATCCCCTGAATTCGTCGGTGAGCGCTGCCAAAATTTTCGATAGTAGTGCCCTTGGGGTGCTATGGATGGAAAGCAAAATGTCTTCAAGTACACGCACGGAAGTCATGATGAGATTCTGTATTGTTCTTCAAGAATAGAGCATTGTTTCCCTAAAAGTAGCACTGGAAGTACTTATCGTTATTACTAATTATCTTTGGAAAGAATACAACTTCTGATTTTTGAACTAGGAGACAATGAATTGTTTCGAAATTCAATGATTCCTCTTTTAAGCTCTTGAAGGCAGTGTTCATCGAAAATATATCTGAAATTGATAAGTTTGTGATGAAGCCTTGAAGTCACCTCAGACTTGAGCCAGGATCAGTCAACGCTTACTCATGTTAGCATCATTCTGTGGTTTAACTTATTACTTGACACCACCTTGAGTATAGGTTCATGTTTTAGTTCTTATTGTTCATTCATTCACAGACACTTCCGATTCAATTACCTAGTCGTCGAATTTAAAGTCGAGGAATTTTTATCTGACAACAATTCAATGACTATGCAATTGTGAAATGCAAGCTGATTATTCGAAAAAAACAGCCGGGAAAGCGTTCACTGAAACAATTGGAAAGAAAGAATCTGACTCGTTAAAGATTCGGATAGCTTCAAGGAGAAAGCACCGGAAATGCAAACTTACTCACACAGTCATGCACGAAGTTTGGACAATCCACACTCACCTCTATATATTCTAGATTGTGTCAATTCTGATCGGTAAAGTTGTTGCTCTTTCAGCATCGGTACGCGGTAAGTTCCCTGATATTATTGCTTTTAATGATTTACGAAAGCTAAATACCACATATAATAATGAAAAAGAAAGGTATCCATTCAGATATCACTGTGACCATACGGCTGAGTAAACTTTCAAAATAGAACTGCTTCATTTTTTTAGATACTTGCCGAACGATATCTCATTCAAAAGTAGTTCACAATTTTCAATCTTTCTATTTGAAGGTGTTAAAGCTTAATAACGGTGTTTCAAATGGTTTTTTTTTCTTTTTCCTTTTGAAAAAAGTATTCCTTCCTCTGGAAAAAAGTAGGGTTGAAGTTCTCGATGATAACTTTGATTAGCATAGGTGAACTCAAGACCAGTGAGAATTTATCGTGTCACAACAAGCCTTCCCTGTAGTGACACGCCAGCTTGTATCATCGTTTTTTTAAGGAAATGTTTTAGAAACTGAAAAATACTCGTATTAATTAGTACTGCTTCAAGAATTACAAACTTGGGAAAAATCTATGATTTAATTCTTGCTGTCCTCGAAAATTCGGATCGAAGCGCAATGCTATTAAATGGTCAGGAAATCTGCGGAGACCCTCTGAGATAGTATGAGTCTGAGATAGTATAGTCGAATGTAGGTTGAGAGTGATTGAACAAAAACGCTTTAGGTTGGATAATTAACCCAGATCTTGGGTTTGTTGGGATGTTAAAAAAAGGTTTTCTTCTCTGTATTGCACTAAAGGGTCCCCTTACAAATCCTGCGAAAAACATATCCAAGCTTTTATGAATTGAATCCCTATTTACATTGCCTTGACCGAAATATTGATTACTTTTGTGTGATTTTTTCTGAAAGTTAGATATTTCAAACCTTGAGGATATTTCAAAAATGCCTCCTTCAGATGTGCTTGAAAGGCGCAGGAAAGAGAAAGGTCGACCGAGCTATCTCGATGAACAGTTGATATCGGCCGAGAACTGGTTGGAGCATAAGAGGCTGGATGACAATTTACAGGGGCTTTGGCGCATTCACGACAAATTGTACGATTTGAGCAAGTTTATTGATAAACATCCTGGAGGTCGTCAATGGCTCGAACTGTCGAAGGTATGACGCGAACTTCATAAAACTTTCAAGCATTACTTTTATGTTCTATTTTTACATTCAAGGGCGTCATGGGAGCATGAGAGCACTGCCCCCTTCCCTTAAATTTTAAATCTGATCATGCTTCGCACTGAAAAAGATATGTCTTATAAACCAATTTGTGGTTCATATGTATGGAACACCACTAATAGTAGTAAAGGCAATAAATAATAATATCACAAATACCGTAGTGATACCTGATGTATGTGTATGAATGGTATACCTAGGTATCTTAGTATGATACGAGATACCATAGTATGGTTCACAGAACGAGAATCATTAGTTTATATACGACTATTAGTTGTGTTCCACATGAACTACTAATTGGTATATTAGGCAACAGATGTTTCTCCGTGCGGCCAATTGTGGTTTATTTTGACCAATTTTAGGGGTTTCGTTTGGAGATGTAATGAAAATTTTCCACCAGTTTCAAAATAAATGCCTTCACCAATAAATTTTAACGCCGAATTTCAAGATAGCCTTCTAGGAAGACTTCCAGGAAGGATAAAACAACGCCCGTGTTTGTGAATTTTGATGGAGAATCGTTCTATAGATTCTCCTTTGATGTGTTTTTCATTCAGGGAACGGACTGCACGGAGGCATTTGAAAGTCATCATGTAGAAGGAAAGGCTGAGGCGATTCTGCCGAAATTTTTTGTGAAAACAGCGTCAACACCAAGGGACGTGGATTACACATTCCACGCAGATGGATTCTACAAAACTTTGAAGACAGAAGCACAGGTCGTTTTAAAAATACTGCCGATCAAGCAACTCGAGATTCAATCAAAAATCATAATCGATGCAATGGCTTTCATGACATTTTTTATGGCCGGAACGGCTGCTTACAATGCCAGTTACATAATTGCTACCATTAGTGGCTTTTTCCTCGCATTAACTGCCATTGCAAGCCACAATTTCTTTCACAAGAAGGATAGTTGGCGAATGTACTACTTTCATCTCAGCCTTTTATCAGTCAGGTAAAAATAAAATGAATATAATTGTTGCAAATATGCTTCCTTATCTCTTGCGCTGTAAATTGTGAGCAAAGAGGAATTTTTAGTGAGAAAAAAGTACTCATTGTTAGTCCGGTTTACCTTTCGCTACAAAATTGCCCATCGCTAGAGATTTCGAGCATGTAAAGTAACTATTTAAACATTGAAACGTTAGCTGCTTGGCCGATTTGCACCTCTTTTTGAGAATGTTGGAAGGTTTGTAGCTGTAAAAGTCACTTATTCGCATGGTGCTGTATCAACTGCTAACAAAGCCACTCTCTGGCGCAAATTCGAATGACCTCTCGACAGAATTTTTTTCTTTCCAATGATTCATCTTTCAACCTATCAGTGTCAATGTTAATTAAATATGTTTCCCCTCCCACCATAATGAAGCTAACAGAAGGTGGGTGGCCAGTAAACGAACGACTTGGCACACCTGCTAACACTTACCTGCTATCACAGAAGCTATTTTAATGTCTCATTAATTTAGTAATTACTAGGATCCTTGATCCACCAGTTAGACTTAAGTTATGTTAATGGATGTTCAAGTAAAATTTCCTAATACTGTAAAGTAGGAGAAATGAAATAAAGATTTACGAAGAGTTGAAAGGGTCCTTTTAAGGACACTTAACACACTTTTGGGTCACTTAAGTTTTCCTTCATAATAATTTCCTTAAGTTTACGGTTCATGAGCATTGCAAAAGCATTCATAGTATAATTATGGATCATTATTTTCACCGATTTCAGAGACTGGCGAATATCACATACGCTGAGTCATCATTCCTACCCGAACACACTTCAGGACATGGACGTGACTGGGTTTGAGCCCTTTTTCAATTACCTCCCGGATCCGCGGAAAAATGTGATTTCTCGCTTCGTATCCTGGGCATATTATCCATTCATCTATGCCACTATGTTTCATTCCGAGTTTTTTACCAGGTTTGTTGGAACATGCAACACGAAGTTTCTACGAAACCACGTCCGGAAAAGAAAAACAATTGGACGTATTTCTACCAAACAGACCTATGTGGATGTGAGAAATATGGGGCGTGCTCGTTAGTTCTCTGGCTGTAAAAGTGAATGAGGATAATAAAGCGCCAGTGACGTCAGCGGCAATGATCGAGCGCGCGCGCGCGAGGGGGTGATCGTCGTCGGGGCGCTTTAACTCATGAGCCCTGTCCACAACGCTCTCTTGCCATGCCCGCGGCTCATGAATTCCGCATTCAGTTGGCACATAGGTATGTTTGATAGAATGTAATATCCCGCTTTTCCAATTCTTCAAAAGGAATCACGCCCTCTTTTACATTGTTTCTTATGCAGCTTTCTAGAGCACACCCCATATTTCTCACCTGCGCATAGTTCTGTTTGATAGAAATACGTCCAATTTTACTATCCAGAGAGGGAAAAAAGTTACATGCCGTCAACTGAATGAATTGTTGACATCTGACAATTGTGTCATGCACTGTTGATGGAAAAAAATTACGAAAAAATAACAGAAGAAATTGTTAAAAAAAAAAAAAAAAAAAAAAATTGCCGCGGAGAAGTACTGCAAATATTCTAAGTAGACCTTCCCTATGATCTCAAAAATTTCTATATGTCGCTTTTTGGGTGCAAAAACTCTACTTGGAAAGCAAGAAACTCGATCCTCGAGTTGATATCACTCAGACTCACTAGCGACTCAGGGTGTTTTTCATTCGAACTCCGTATCAAGAACCATTTGGCAATATATCTTAGATACAAAATTTTGGTAAAAAGACGAAATCTAATTCTGAATTTAACTGTAAGATAGAGTAAATGAAGACAAATGTAAATTCTCGATCCATCGAATCAATCGATCATCGAAGACCGATTGCTATATCGATGTTACATGTACGCATTATTAAAGCACGTCGCTTTTTTCACAAAAAAAAAAAAGATTATTGACGTCTCGCATATAGTTTTGCCTATTTCTGATGAAACTTTCTTTAATTTCAACTTCTCAGATGTATCCATAACACCCTTTCGAAGTCAGAACTATTGACTGCTTCCACCATTCCTACCCTTCTTTTCTTCGCAAACGGAGGAAATATTATCTCAGCATTCCTTATGTGGACCTGGATTTTGTGTGTGGGAAGCTTAACTTTTCACAATACCGATGTGGTAGCAACTCACCGACACCCCGAGACTTTTATACAAGGAGACGCTCCAAGGTAATATTTACAGTGAAAAATCGCAAAACGATGTAACTGAATATTTTAATTTCTTTCTCAACGTGAGACATTTTGAAATCCCCCTCCCACCCAGTTCAAGCTTGCACATAACGCGTTAAGAAGGGAAATGATTGTATATCTTCAAAAGGCACGCGATAAAAGTAGAAATGGCTTTAACGAGACAGTTGAAGATTTAAAAGAAGAGAAAAATCCCATTCATGATCCCTAAACGAGAATTTTCGTTCCATCAACAAGAAATTTGTGGGATTCGAGATCCTTCACTTGTGAGGCTAAAACTCACGAAGCGCGCCAGATGTGCGTTTACGTGCTTTTGGAAATTCCTAGGGCTGCAAACACGGCTCTCACTTGTGTGTTTAAAACTCACAAAGCGCAGAAGATGTAACTTTACGTGCTTTTGGGGATTCCTAAGGGTGCAAACACGGCTTTTTGGTCGATCGCATCCCACAATTCGAAATCTTCCACTTGTGAGTTTAAAACTCACGAAGCGCGCAAGAATTGTCTTTACGTGCTTTTGACTCCTAAAAGTGCAAACACGGCTATAGGGTCAAACGCATTGTGCGATTCGAGATCTTCCACTTGTGTGTTTAAAACTCACAAAGCGCAGAGGATGTAACTTTACGTGCTTTTGGGGATTCCTAAGTGTGCAAACACGGCTTTTTGGTCGATCGCATCTCACTATTCGGGATCTTCAACTTGTGAATTTAAAACTCACGAAGCGCGCCAGATGTGCGTTTACGTGTTTTTTGAAATTCATAGGGGTGCAAACACGGCTATTCGGTCGAACTCATTGTTCAGTTCGAGATCTCTCACTTGTGTGTTTAAAACTCACAAAGCGCAGAAGAAGTAACTTTACGTGCTTTTGGGGATTCCTAAGGGTGCAAACACAGCCTTTTGGTCGATCGCATCCCACGATTCGAAATCTTCCACTTGTGAGTTTAAGACTCACGAAGCGCGCCAGATGTGTGTTTACGTGCTTTCGAAGATTCCTAATAAGGGTACTAACACGACTTTAAGGTCGAAGACAAACTCACATATCGGGTGTATAAGTTGATCACATCTCATTAATATGAGAGGGGTGTCAAAAATTGAAGAAAAACATCGTTACATAATTGCAAGGCATTTTCTCAGAAGCATGCAACTTGACCTGCTTCTTGTGCCATGCGCCATGTTCCCTACGCGATTCGAAGGTGGACCTATGTCTACGGGTCGCTCTTATACACTGAGAAAAAGCTATGGTTTATAAACCTATTAGTGGTAAATATGGAACACCTATAATAGTCGTAAATAAACTAATGATTCTCGGTCTGTGAACCATACTAAGGTCTCTGTACCTAATTAAGGTACAGAGACCATAACTAAGGTATATGTGCTATTATTATATGTAGAGGTACTACTATTAGTGGTGTTCCATATTTACCTCTAATAGGTTTATAAGCCATAGTTTTTTTCTCAGTGTAATACGTAACGCTACAGGGGAAGGGTTCGAAGAAAGCATTACGCCATTTTATTTTCAAACGTCAAAGGATAGACACCTAATCACAAAAACGTCACAAGGGAGGGAGAGGTGGCGAAAAATCCAAAATGTAGTGTTTCGTATTTAATGGACAGCCCCCTACTAAAAGATGTTTCTCTCCCAAATCCGATTAATGTTTTTAAGTATTTATCTGCCTTGAATTTTCTGAGAAAACTCGTACTAAACCAGACTTGACTTAACGTATAGGTAAATAGCGAGTAAAATGACACTCACGCTATCATTTTCTCTTTTCTTTGAGCGTGAATTCAAATAACTGCGTTTACAGGAAAGACCGTGATTGGGGTTTGGCTCAGATTGACACGACCAAGGATAACCAATGGCTGACAGGAAACGCTTTTTTCGCCATGATATTGTTTGCAGATCACACACTGCATCATCTCTTCCCTACAGTTGACCACAGCGTGCTCAAGTTTCTCTATCCGGTGTTCCTGCAGACCTGCAAGAAGTTCAATGTAACGTGGAAAGCTGATGACAGATCGTTTCAAATGGCCACAGCTGAGTTCCGGGCCCTGGCCAGGAATAAACCCAATCCGTGCCCTCCAAACTGATTTACTTACATAAAGTACATTTACGAGTAACACCTACCTAAACAACTTACAATAACATTTCTCACATAATTATTTATATCAATATATCTCACATTTTAAAACCAACTGTCTCTAAAATTTTAAAATGATTTGTACGTATGTAGTGTGTGTCCGTATTAAGACAGTAAATAGTTTCTTAAATAATATTTTATTACCATACTGTTTGCCATGAAGATAAAAGTTCTACTTCCTTGTACAGAGAAAGTCGGATACAACGACCCTTTCGGAACCGACTTAATTCGGTTATTATTTCTATCAATCGTTACAACCGATGCATAAATACATTGAATCAATTGAATTTCTGCAGCCGGACTGACCAGATTACACGTCGTTTCAACCTGTCTGTCGTTATGATTGATTTTGTAGTATCCAATTTCCACTGTACATGAAGTCGGAAAACCTTGGTGTATGGCGAAAAATACGACAGTCCCAGATCTATCAAGATGCTAAAAAATATCCGACTAAGCTACAGTTACGTCGGTTTGTAGTTAGCAATTCAACAAGCGTACTTTTTAAGGAAGGAATTTGTATACAATCGTGTCTGAAACTCGAAATTGTCGGAGATTGTTGGGACACAACTTATGCCTTTTTGCTTGTAGGTTCAAAAATGTACTCAGCCACTAGCAATTTATCACACCGTTTAAGGAATAATAGCATCCCCGAATTTTCGATTTTTCCCATTGACTCCACAGTGTTATATAAACAACAATAAATATCACTTCAATTTCCTAAGAGACTCTTTTTAGAACAAATTGTTTTTCTTTCTGCTGCTCCCTTTAAAAATAAGTCTGCACCTGAGAAATTTTAAATCCATTTTTTCTTTCATTTTTATTTTGTTTTGTTGCAAATAACTTGAAAATACCTGTTAGTGAAGAAGATATTCTCTACCTCTAGCATACAACTGGCGATGAATATGAAATTTTACAGAAAAAGTGGCATATTACGTCTAAGTATCGACTGAATCTCCTGCATAAAGATAAAGCAATAAGCATTCATGAGTACATGAAGGTGTACTCATCCCTTTTAAAAGGATACGCTGGACACTTGGTAATGTCTTTCTCTAGTTTGTCACTTTGATGAACCATTTTATGACTGCCTGTAAAATATGTACACCTCATTTAAAATTATTTCTAGTTCAGTTAAAAAAGAAGGAGGGAGCGAGAAAAACTTTGAAATCTTGCACGAATCTGAATAGAATCAGCTTAGTTACATAAGACAATGTCCAATATTCTCTCCTATTGTATTTTTTTCTGTTTACATTCTGATTTGGAATTTTATAAGCGTGTGAATCCAGCTGATATTCACAAAGAGTTTCATGGCATTATTCTGCTTAGTTTTTGATTGAAACAACTAAAATTTGAGATGAGCTCAAGTTTTATAATAAGCCTTGAGATAAATCATAACCATTGCAACTTCATACCTTCTTTTCTTGGGTGTCGTTGCATGCTTGCAGTTAATTTGGTCCAACCTTTGCAGTGAGCTGGAAGTATTATTCAAATTTAGCCTCAATCCAACAAACAAGTAATAACTTTAAAAGAGTGTCCCTCATCATAAATTATAAATCCTGTTGAAATTTGTGCCTCACTAATTTCACTTTCAAATGAGTATTTTTGGTTTGATAGTAGTGGTTTCTCCAAATAAAGTCATTTGCTTGTTATTATTTTCAAATTATTCCGCCGGATCATCTAAATTCTCGTGGATAGCTAGGTATCCAAAAAGTGACAAAATTATATTTGTAATTTGGAATACGTTTAAATTCTTTCTCAGTTGTATTGTATCTGAATTGTTACATCTGTTTGATAGTAGTGGTTTCTTCAAATAAAGTCATTTGCTTGTTATTATTTTCAAATTTTCGATAAGTTGCAAGAATCATTTGACATTGATCACAATGAGCTACCTCCCATGCTTTTAAATATTGCACCTCAGATTTACTTTCCTCCTCCTTGCAGACGAAGAAACTATTTTGGCTCCAACACACTTTACCTAATAGTAATGTTTCAAACTTTCTCTGGAAACTGCATTTTGTCGAAGGCATAACAAATCAGTTTTAAGGTTTGAAATGTTTATAGTATGATTATAGAATGGTAAAACGAAGGCAGGGAAAAAGTCAGGATAAGTACAATGTTGATCCGTAATCCTTGCAGCAAACTAAGTTCGTGAGATGATTTTAAAGTTCATGTTTAACATATTGATTAAAGCACCCATCATCAGACTTTTTCCTTAGGTAGCTCTGCCGCAAAAAAGAAATTGCGTAATTCTCTTCTAAATGAGCGTTAAAATTTTTGCGACGGTCTGCCAGTAAGTTAGGTCTTGCATAGATTTTCTTTTTAACGTTTCAAACTTGGTGCATTTCGCACATGCTGTCAATTTCACAAGATCCTTCATTTGGTTACTGAGTCTATGCAAATCCTTTCAGGGCCGTGGCAACATAGACGGACATGAAACGGTGTGTCGAGTGCGTCCGTATCAGTCTGGGTCCGGGGAGGGGTGTCCGCATTTCGGGGCTCCGGAAATAAATGAGCGGCGGGCGGCTGGGCGAGTAAATTTACAAATTTCGTCGGAAGCCCGGCGCTGAGGGCACGAGCAAAGGCGTGGAAATAAATGCCCAGGAATGTTGGGGCATTATTCAGCCACCAGGGAGACCTCGCCGCTCCGTTGCCACCTGCAGGAGAATTCCTCCCGATAAATCCCACCCGGACCGGAAATTTACGGATACATTTGATAAGTTGAGATTCAAAACCTAGTAAGCATAGCGCTATCAGGTGTTGCTGAGATCAACGGAATCTTCTCCCCTTTCATCGGGAATCCAAGTCCCTGAAAATTCAAGAAAAATTATAATCATGGAAAAAAGACGAAAATGTACAGAAAATGCCCACCATTTTAAGTCATTGGAACGAGGGCAGTTACCAGTGGCGTGGCGTGCTTTGCGATATATCGGTTGTTATGCCATTTAAACCTATGGAAAAATATCTATTATCAGGGCGTTCGCAGCGAACACCTTAGTAATCGATTCTTTACTATGGCTTCAAAAGGCGATATATCGATAATCGATCCTTCACGCCACGCCACTGGCGGTTACGTTCTCTAACATGGAGCATGACTATGTACAGAACCATCCATAAAAGAATATAAAGAGTGGAGTAAAAATGCGAAATCTTGAAGGGAGCTGCAGTGATTTTTTTTTGCGATCACAGTTGTTGATGAGTCATTCTAATTTTGGTTTGTCAAACTGAAATCTCGGCTCGTGAAGCCGCACTACTTCTCCAGTTGTGTTCAGTTTGAAAAGTCGGTTCCATAAATGAAGACTTCAGTTTGATGAGCCGAACAATATCGCCGACGTGGAACGCACGGTATGTACACCATTACCAAGCTTCTTTCAAAGCACTAACGTGCGACGATTGACGTTACGATGCCTTCTCACAATTTTGTGGCGGTTAAATTATAGTTTGTTTGAATCCTTGTTTGGTGCTGAATATGGATCAATGAACTTCGATATCGTCGTCATTAATGTGTGCACTGTCTTTCAGAGCTAAAACTCGGTTAGGTACTCACTCCTTGATTTGGAAAATATTCCCCACAAACTTATTGCACAAAAACCCACTCGCCAGCATGCTATATTTTGGCAATTTGAAGCCCTAAAGGTGTGCACATACCCGGTATGTGCGACATATTGTGATGTATTGAGGGTATGTCATACCCTCAATACGTTCGTAGATTCCCTAATGACGTTTATGCTTCAGATGACAGTATTGCGGACGATTGCACTATGTTTGCGTCAGAACAGATTTTTACGAAGAAGCACGAGACAATGGTCAGAGGAGAAAAACAAGGGAGAAAAAACGGAATACAAGGCTAAAATACAACGAAGAAAAATCCGACTCTAATCCGTCATTTTCAGGCGGAAAATAAATTAAAAATTGAAAAATATCGATTAAAAAACCTGAGACCTACATGTTGGTGGCCGGAGAAAAAACCAATAGAAAAAAATGTTTCTCGGATCTCGGCTAGCAATATTTGCGTATCAGGTTTTTTCATCGATACTTTTCAATTTTTAAGTTATTTTCTCACTGAAAATGACTCAGTTTTGAGTCGGGAACGTTGTGGGTTTTTTTATTGTTGTACTTTAGCCTTGTTCCCCGTTTTCCCTCTTGTTTTTCTCCTGTCTGATAAATCTGAAGTGAAAAAATTCATGGCACACCATAAAAATTGTGTGCGTTACAGAATGTTTTTTGAAGAGAACGTCATTGCAGTGCCTCATTCAGCTCTAGGTTTTTTTCTGAGGACTATATTTGTTTTCCATCTAGATACAGACACTCGGTGTCCGGGTCAATTCTATTATTCCTCGTCAATCTGAGATTATGCGGAGCTGATGAGTCACTTTTAATGGGCGCGGGACAATCAAAAGTTAATCAAACATTGTTACAAATATCAAGGTGTAAATTATGAAAATAAATAAAATTGGGTTAACCTTACCTCGCATAATAAATGAATCACTTAATACAAAAAGGGCAAATGTCCACAAAACTAAATTTTTCAGGAGACACAAATTACTGTTTATTTCGTGGTAGATATTTTTTGGGAAGTCGTTATGTTTAAAAAAATATCTACCACGAAATAAACAGTTTTTTGTGTCTCCTGAACAATTTGGTTTTCTGGACATGTGCCCTTTTTGTATTTAGTGATTCAAATATATTGAAAAAAAAGTTTACCCGTGCTTTCGGCTTTGTGCTATGTAGTGTTACCACTGATGACGAGCTCTGCCCGAAAGGTACCGATGAAATCCAATCAAATTTTTTTCAGTATATTTAGTACGCAAGGTGAGGCTAAGCCAATTTCACGTATTTTCATCGGAAAAAGCGGCATCAATGCTGGAAGAGGGACGTCGGTGCAGCGCTGGGCACTGGTTTTTGAATAACATTCAGGCCTCCTTGGTTCACCCGAAGGCGGAGAGGGTTCTTCTGAGCGATTTGCTCACATTTGTCTCCGTCGTCGTGTCCTTCCGAATTCCCGCGTCAAGTGCGCCTCGCGCCTCGGCCCAAGCTCAGCTTCGACAATCTGACAAGACCATCGTTCAGCACTTCCGCCCAACTTTGAGCTTTGAGATAATTTCCAGACCCTCGGTCCTGCGCCCCGGCATCCGGTTCTACGGACAAGGGATACGATGGCGTCGTGAGGAGATGGGAGAAGCTCCTCACATGGAACACATTAGTGTCTCTGGGTCAGTTTGTTGACTTTTGCCAAGAAATGAATAGTTTCTTTCGACAGTGTCTGTCTCTTGGAAAAAGAGAAATTTACAGAGAACGGAAAAATTGAATTCAGCCGAAAAATTTCGGTACCTGGGTCATGTTTATTACATAAATTGTTCAATTCCAAAAATCAAGAAAATTCCGATTCTCTGATATTACAACATGAACAATGTGAGGAGAGTAAACCCACTACAACTCAGCTCGAAAACCATGCTCCTTGATATGCCACAAAACTGGTGATCGCTTGCAAGTGTAAAAACTTACTAAAAGCTCTAAAACAGAGGTGTAAATGGCATGGAAGACCAACATTTGAATATGTTGGATATTGAGAATTCCGAATAAACCGATGTACTTCCAGACTCGATATCCAAACATAAAATACACATATTGTATGAATTGAATGAAAGCAACTAATAAAACGAAAAATGAAGTTTAAAATGGCTTACTGGATGTTGTTAAGTAAGAAATTATCTTGCGCTGTGATTTTCAAATTTTGGCAAGCTTTGTAATGATAAAACGACGCGGACGTCGGCCATTTTTCCGAACTGCATATCTTAGAGAGTATAGAATGCACCGTTGCGACGGTGTCAGATAATCGCGGTTCTACTATACTTTATAGCGCTTTGGTGCCCAATTCTTTCCCTGCTAAAATGAGTGTAATGTTAGCTAATTGATATCAATGTGCTAGTATTGAGTTTTCATGCATGATACTGAGTAACACAATGTTAGCAACATGTTAGTACTATAACCAGCTGTGAGCGAAAATCAAGTTTGTCATCAGTGATACACTAAATGATTACAACTTAATCACATGAGAGCTATGTGTTGGCATTAAGTTAATCAGCATCACACGACTATTACACTCAACATTGTAATGCTAATTATAGACATTCTCAAAATGTTGAGAATGTCTAGACTTTTCAGATGTTATCGAGGCCTTAAAAATCTGTTTTTCTGCTCCTCACGTTGCAACAAGATGCATCTATGCCGAACTAGACAAAGCCACCAAAACCTCGATTTTCACTTTATGGGTGCTAAAGTCTTTTTGAGAATAACCGCGATTCAATTGGGCGTGGATAGCACGATTTAGCATAGTTGAACATCGTCCTGCTGAGCAAAAAACTGATTCCCATAGGAGCTTATGGATCGTATTCAATACATCAAACAGGTAAGATTGTATCGATATCGATTGGTTCAAGATGTAAACGTCAAAAGTCAATTGCGCAATCAAAGAGAACGGGTATTTTGTGAGAGATGTTTGATTCTTATATGTACAAAGCAATGAATAAGTGAAATCGTGGGGAATTTTCTCATGTTCAGCTTTTCTGACTTAAATCCTAAAATTATTAATCGAGGTTAAGTTCTATCGTTTCGAACCAAACGATACATAGAATCATTTTGAAGAGAATCATCATCAAGAGAATGGACATTTTGTGAGAGATGTTTGATTCTTATAAGTACAAGGCAATGAAAAAGTGAAATTGTGGGGAATTTTCTCATTTTCAGCTTTTCTAACTTAAATCCTAAAATTATTGAGGTTAAGTTTTACCGTTTCGAACCAAACGATACATAGAATCACTATCAAATACGATCTACTGGGAAG